AAAAAATAAAATTGTTTAAACAAATTGTTCACATTTTGGCTGATTTTCATTACGAATACCTACCTTCTCGGTATATAAAGGTTAAACCGAGTGGCGACCGATGACTAATAGGACAAAATAGCGTACCCCGTGGCCCGATTATGCATCGTTCGGTCACAACCTAACCGCGAACCAGAGCCTGTCCCAATCACGCCCGTTCCTGGTATTTCCTACTTCGCTACTAGCAAACGAGCGGCGACGGCGTTGTCGTTGATGTTTTTCTCCCTTGTCTAGGTCTATGCGGGTATAGGAGATTGTCGTTGATGCTCAGGAACAGCGTTGCAGTTTTCCTAGATTGATCCTTGGGGGACATCGTTCTTGATAGTGGATAGTTAATTCTTGAACATGCACTGTTATTGTTATCGCAGTTGTTAGATTGATGATCCAGAGAAGAGCTAGATTAGATGGGACAGATGTTAAATTATTGTTATTATGTTATATTTTACATCAATATATTTTTTCAATTTGTATAATTTATCTGAACATGCTTGTGTAAGTGACAGATGAATTTCTTATCAATATAATGTTATTCAAGTCTTGTTTCTCTTTACTATATTGCCAACTTTAATCATCTCTTTTAAATATAGTATTATATGTACCAGATGTATTTATTATATATTTGTGTAATTTTTTATATGGTATAGTATATAATAGAGATTAGAATTTATATTTTATGGCAAATCTTTTGGATACGTTACATCTTATATCAAACTTTTATTGATTTATACAGTTTTCTGTAATAAATACGTACGTACATAACTCAGTATCGGGAAGATGTAGAGTAGAGTTTATTCAACTACTTTATATAGGAAAGATATGAAATACTTTTTACTATTGTAGTAATGTGTGAAGGCAATTTATAGATCGTGACAACATCTAGAAAAAAATTATACATGTAAACTTTAAGAAATTTAGAAATAACTTAAAAAAAAAATTGATAAAATGTTTTCTTTGTAGTTTTCACAGGGCCTTACAAGCAGGTTGGAGCTGTATCAGAAATCAAATAGAAATAGCCATTCGAGTGACACAAATTCAACATACAGTGGATCCGACACCATGACATCTGTACAAAATTTGTTAGACGCGGATTCTGATGAAGTGAATCTGTCAGGTCTTGTGGAATCTATTGTTGATAGCGATGAGGAGGAGGATCTGGCAGAGAGTATGAATGTAATATCATGATTTATCTTTCTGTCCCCTAGAGGTGCATTAGATGAGATTCTAATTTCTACTATTGTGATATTTTAGAGTTTAACGGTGCGCGATTCTGTACGAGAATGTTTAGAAAAGAATCTTGTTGAGAAAACGGAGGATGACATAGAAACGTTTTTGGAGTTTACGCAACAACTGAAAATTTTTACAAACATAACTTTGGCTGTCAGAAGAGTGTTGTGCACTGTAATGGTATTTACGAAGATCGATCGTGCTGGGATGGTGGTTTTAAACGATGGCGAGGAACTCGACAGTTGGAACGTGCTGATCAACGGCGCTGTTGAGATTGAGCACAGCAATGGCGAGATTGAACAACTCGGTCTCGGAGATAGCTTTGAAATTTTGTCTACTATAGAGAGGCTATTACATCGTGGAGTTATGAGAACAAAGTTCGTAATGTGATTTTTCCCTACTTCCGCATAGGCCACGATGCCTTTTCAGCAATATAGGAAAGAAAAAAAATGTGGTTTTCTATTTGCAGGTGCGACGATTGCCAATTTATTTGCGTAACGCAAGCAGATTACTTTCAAATACAACATCAAGGAGAAGTGAATATCAAGAGATACAAAGAGAATGAAAAGGTGATTCTGATGACTGAATTGCAAGGAGCTTTAGATGGCGCGGCTCGAAGAGGTCACGTAGTGATTCGGGGAACGCTAGAGCGTTTGATGTTACAGCTCATTGAAGAAAACAGGATTACGGATCCTACTTATGTGGAAGATTTCTTATTGACTCATCGAATGTTCATTGATAGTCCGTTGTTAGTCGCAAGTCAATTGCTGGAGTGGTTTAATCAGGCGCAAGTGCGAGATCGCGTTGTTCGCGTCGTGCTCTTATGGGTGAATAATCATTTTACCGATTTTGAAACTGATCCAGCAATGATGGAATTTTTAGGAGCATTCAAAATTGGACTTGAAAGAGAGAAAATGTTTAGACAACAAAGGTAAGCTCCTGTCTCGTTATTTTATTATTTTTTTAAAGGAAATATATTTAAGTATATTAAGGAAAATAATTTATTGTAATCGATTGTTTGATTTTAGGTTGCTAAATGTGCGGCTTACATGTGCGGCGAAAGCGAAAACGCGAAATGTAACGTTAGCCAGGCCAAACAGGGATAAAGTCTTAAATTTTAGCATTTTAAGAGGATTTAAGAGAAGTTTTGGTATATTTATCTCAAAAGTTGACAAGAGATTTAAGGCTGAAGATGTCGGTTTAAAAAGAGGCGACCAGATTTTAGAAGTGAACGGCCAAAGTTTTGAGCATGTAAATCATGCGAAAGCACTCGATATTCTGAGAGCTTTTGCGCATCTCAGTATAATTGTAAAATCTAATTTGCTTGGTGAGTTTTATTTATAAATCAAAAAATAGAAAAATAATAATAAAATGTTTTTTCTTTAACTTCAATTATTTAATTTTACAGTTTTCAAAGAGATGCTCCAAATGTCAGACAATTCCCCGAGACCTCGAGATAGAACAAATAAACCGGAAATACCCAGACTTCAATCGAATCCACGAGTCAGACTATCAACGCACGTAGATCTCACGACTCCTGTGAATCCTTTAAATCCCATGATTGGTGGAATATCGTTATTAATTCCAGACAACAATGTATTGCTATGCAAAGATGCTAAAAAAGAACACAAAGGATTTATGACTCTTGGACCTAAACGGCGATTACAGAAAGCACTTATGAAAATGAACATACTGCCAAGGAACACGATCAAGTGAGTGCATTAAAGTCTGTTGCACAAATAATAATTAAATCTACTTGAATTTTTTGCTGACATAAGATTATTTTTAATTTTAACAGCGACGGTGTACACGTGGATGATCCTTTTGCGCCACCGCATACACCACCGGAAACAGAACTTACGCAAACTACTACTAATCTATACCGTTCGAAAACTAATCCAGATCTTACGTTGCTTTGTTACTACGACCGTAGAACACCGTCTACGCAAGCATCCATGATAACGTTTCGGACATTCAAGCTTCTGAATGTTACAACAATTGCCAGTAAGTTTGGTTGGATGATATTTTTTCGATACACGCGAAACTTTTTCAGACATATATTAAACGTTTATCTAATTATATTATCACACATAATTAATTAATTATTTAAACATCTATTAATTCAGAGTGATTTATTCTTGGAATACATTTATACCAGGCCTCATAAATACCACCAATTAAACTACCAATTATTAAAAAATATATTGATAACTCTTTTATTTAAAAGTGAAATATTGAATGCTGAATTAAAAACTTTTTTTTTTTTTTAGAAAATAAAAAGTGAAAATTTTGTTATATTAAGTTGTAGAGAATACGTT